GAATTCCAGAGAGGGCTGCTGAAGGGCTCTCGGCCCCTTCACCTCCTCTGCCTGCCTGGGTTTCCCATGGCCCTGGGCACAGCAGCTCTGTCCCACCCCCACCCCACCCTGAGGGCAGATGAAGGCCAGAGGTCACACCACCAGGATGAGGGGGCAGCCTCTTCTTTCCCCCAAGACTTTCCATGGCACCCAGACAAGGCACAGATCGCACCGGCACTTGATAATTATCCTCAAACTGTTTATCTGGACCTGCGGCACATGGAGGGTTACCCTGCAACCTTGAGTCCCAGAGCGTTATCTGTGACCCAGGAGAACCAGTGTTTGCAGCTTTTAGAAGGCTGCGTAGGTTCCTCATCAGAGATGCTTTCTAAACTTCAGAAAATCACTCCTGATGTGGAGTATAAAGAAACCGACCCCATATGGAACTGACAAGAATGCTTTGCTACACAGAAAAATTCTCCAGGGTCCACTAGCAGAAATTCTGCGTTTAACACTGACACAGTTGGTATGTGCCAGACAGTCCTAAGTGCTCTACATTGAACATCTTCACACAACCTTATGGGGTCAGGGCTGTCATAGTTCCCCTTTGACTGATGAGGAAACTGAGGCCCACAGCAACACAGCTGGGTTGAGGCAGAGCTGGGAACAGGTCCCGAGCTCCCTGAGGAGTCAGGGTGGGTGCCATACTGAGGTGGGGCTCCTGGCAGCCCAGGCTCAGAGGCAGCCTCCCCCTAGGCTTCCACCTCAACAACCAGCTGACCCAGGCCCTTACTAGCCGCTACCGGGACAGCCGTCTGCGTGTGGACTTGGAGCGCTTTGTGTCCTGTGTGGCCCAGCTTACCTGCATCTTCTGTGAGTGCCAAGCCTAGCATGCGTTGGGGCACAGGGAGCATGTCTCCCAAAGCAGGGGGATGGGGTGGTGGGCACTCACCTGACCCTCCCTGCACAGGCCGCTGTAGCCAGCACTTGGATGGGGGCGAGGGAGTCATCTGCCTGACCCGCCAACAGGTGAGCCTGGGCTGGAGGGAGTGGCACCGGGCCGCCTGCCTTAGGGGCCTGGAGACCCCTGCCTCAAGCCCCCTGACTGTCTTCTCTCACCCAGTGGACGGAGATGGCCCACTTCTCCTAGGATCTTGGCAGGGGAGCGCCTGCGGCTGGAGGCAGGAGAGCTGCAGGAGCCCTGCCTTTCCCGGTCAGCCTGGACCAGGGTTTATTCCACAGCAAGGGGGTCCTGAGCCAGACCAGCCCCCAGCCCCTCCACCTCCCTGCCTGGCATGGGGCTGATGCCCTGACATCAGGCAGTGCTTCTGAGCATGGCCTTGGGAGCGGGTCTGCCACACGCTCACCACCGGGTGACGCTGGGCAGGTCACTGCCCTCCTGTGCTCTGCTCTCCTCACCTGTGAACGGGGTGATGACGCGCCTTCTTGGGCCGGTACACGAGCTTAGTCGATTGTGCGCTGAGCATAGTGCCTGGCCCTGACTGGGTCCCCAATAGCGTTATTTTACACTCACGGAAACAGGGATTGTGGCACCCCAGGCCCTGCCGCACTCTGCGGGGAGGTGCTGTATCACTGCCCTGCTAAAAATTAGAGAACAGAGACTGGAGAAAAAGAGAGGATACTGCAGACTCCTTAAAAATATTAGGTTTTATTATCCTGTCCCCAGAAGGGTGGTTTATCCAGAAACCAAGAAAAAAAATCAATCCAAATAAAACAAAAGGGAAATGGGAAAGGAACAAAACCATCAACTAACAGGCAGCCAGGCCAGCAGCCCACCCCCCACCTCAGGAGGGTCCCCAGAGACCCATGCCTGACGGCAGACAACAGAAAAATCAGTAAGGGGCTGGGGGAGGGGAGCAAATCAGCTATGTCTTCATTATGAGCAAGAGGCGGCAAAGATATGTTGCTAGGTGAATATATATTTATATAATAAATCCGTAACTTAATAAAGTAAATAGTAATTCTCTGAAAGGTTTAAATTTTTTTATAGCTTTCTTTTTTTTGGTGATTTTGTGTGTTTTTTTTTTGTTTTTTTGTTTTGGTTTTGGTCCTTAGAAGATCTGAGAGAGACCCAGGTCCAGACAAAGCCAGGTATGAGCGGCTGGGGGCAGGGGTAGAAGGCTGGGTGCCCAATCCACTCCTCTGTTGCAGAAGGGGACACTGAGCTGCACTCCCCCACCTCCTGGCAATCGCAAAGGAGGGGCGGGGTGAAGGGAGCAGGGTGGGTCCTCTTTCCTATTGGGTAGCTGTGGTGCCCTCTGCTGGGCCCATCACAGGTGTGAGCAGTTCCTGGACAAGGCACGTAGGGCTTTGGCCTAGATGTGGGAGGCCTTGAAGGGACCTCAGGGGGGAAAAAGGAAGGGGCAGGTTGTGGTGGGCATTCCTTGGGCCCGGAGGGGACCTGTTTTGCTGTGGGGATCCACTGTCCCCTCCACATGTTTAAAAACAACAACAAACCAATACATCATATATATTTACCAGACCAGAAGTGTTGACCCCCAAGTCTCCAGTACCCCTATCCAGGGGGAGCGGGAGAGAACCTCCTGGCCAACTGACAAAGAGAGAGGAGAGAGCCTGCCCCAGCCCCTCCCTGCCCACCCGCCCCACCCCCCAGAAAGGACTGACAGAGTGCTTTGCATAGATACAGAGTCAGAGGAACAGGACCGGGGAGGCCCCGCAGCGGGGAGAGGGGCTCTCCCAGCCCCTCCTGGAGGCTGTGAGGAGCGGGTGTTTGGTCAGGGCTCTCCGTGGGAGCCTCACAGGTCACTCTCGCCGTACAGGGCTGTAGAGAAGGACTTGTAGTCAAGGGCGCCGGGCATCGCATCAGGGCCCTGGTATGGTGCCATGCGGGCAATGCAGTACTCGGCCTGGTCGGGGGGCAGCTCTCTCCGAAGCTCCTCGGCTGTGATGAAGTTCTGGGGAAGGCAGGGCGGGACTTTGGGCCACCTGCACCCACACTGGCCCCCAGCCCCTCATGCCCAGTCCTGACTGCAGAGCCCCTTCCTGCTGGCCCCCGGTGCTCAGAGGTGTCTGGCTTACCTTGTCCCCAGCCAGGACTTTGAAGGAGGCGATGACCTGGTCGGCTGTGTCTGTGTCGGTAGTTTCCCGGGACATGAAGTCGATGAAGGCTTGGAAGGTCACGAGGCCGCTGTGGTTGGGGTCGACGACGCTCATGATGCGGTTGAACTCAGCATCTCCCTGCGAGGCAGGAGTGGGGCAGGGGACAGGCAGCCTTTGAGTGGGGGAGGAGGGCTGGGCCGACCCCAGCCACCAGAGGGCAGGGGGGACCCCAGTGCACTGAGCTAGGAGGGCAGGGTCCGACCCCAGTGCACACTCCAAGTTGTCAGTCTGCCTCCAAGGGCTTGGATTCCCCGGGCAACTGCCCCATGTGCCCCAGACAGGATGAGCGCCCTCTACTCTTCCCCTCCCACATTTTTGGGAAGTGGGGTATAGATCAAATAGGTCTGCTGCTCCTCAGCCCTAGGCTCACAAGTTAACTCTGGAGGGTGGGGAAGAAAGAAAAAGAGAAAGAAAAGGGGGAGAGCTGGAGGCCTGACCTCCTCTCTCAGAGCCTCTCCTCACAGCCTCCAGGAGGGGCTGGGAGGCTCAGGGAGTCATCGGAGGGACCCAGTCCAGCAGATGCAGCAGAAGGGGGGCGGTGAGGCTGCACTGATCTGGTGGAGGGGTGTCCCTGAGGACCTGGAAACTCTAGACGGGGGTAGCACAAAAAGGAGGAGGAGGAAGGGGGAGGGAGGAGGAAGAAGAGAAAGGGGAGGAGGAGCAGGAGGAGGAGGAGTGGCACAGCAGCGAGGGAGGCAGAGGCTGCATACCAGGCTGTATCCTGTGGAGATAAGCAGAGCCCTGAAGTCATCCGAGTCCATGCTGCCTGTCTGTTTCTGCTCGAGGACGCAGGGACAGCAGGAAGCCAGGCCCACAGTAGGCAAGAGGGGCAGACCCATGTGCACAGCAGGGAAACAGGACAGTGGCAGGAGCAGGGAAGAACAAGGCGGCCCCAAGAGACCAGGTAAGGGGAAGGGGTCCAGAAAGACACAGGTAGGAAGGAGGCAAGAGAACCGGTGAGATGGTACACATAACGAAGAGGGGTAAAATGGCGAGGGTGGGGAGACAGAGAAAGAGAGAGAGAAAGAAGAGCAGTTAATGCCATGGTCCACTGGGGCCCAGGGGGCGCGTACCTGCCGGTCATTCTCCACGTCGTAGCCCAGGCTGATGAGGCAGGCCTTGAATTCCTCTGGCCCCAGCGCCCCGCCGTGGTCCTGCCGGGTGTCCAAAGGCAGGTGTGCAAGGGGCGGTGTGGAAAGCAGGCCGGCACAGAGGTGGGAGAGGGGCCAGGGTTATTTGCAGAGGGCCGGGGGGTGGGGGAGACACACATGGAGGAGGGAAACACAGAGTTAGAAGTGATGTGGACAAGGTGATGGCCAGGGACAGCTGGGGCAGGTGGAGGGGTGTGGGTGGTCTGGAGGACAGTCAGAGGCTTCTTCCCACATCCTCGGGGCGAGAGCAGGGTGGGGAGTTGAATGGTGCAGATCGAGGATTGAGTCCCAGGACTGGGCGGGGGGTCGGGGGGAGGCACACTTTGCCTCCAGGGTCTGGGGTGGGAGAAATGGGATTGCACTCTATCCTGTGCAAGGCGTCAGGGTCCTGCTTGATGGTGCAGGGCTGAGGCTGTACCCTCCTACCCACGGGTGAAAGCAGGCAGAGTACACATCAGGCCCAGCAGTGGATAGGGACTGGGGTCAACTCTGGCACTCAGGCCCTTCCAAAGGGGCTCCCAGACCAAATCTGAATTTGAAGAACACTGTGTGTGTGGGTAAACCAGGTTCACGGGTCAGGTCTCAACTCTCGGGTGTGCTGGGACTTAGTCTGTCCCATGTCTCATGGGCAGGTTGGTGAGGAAGCACGGCCTGAAGCAGGGCTCAGGACCCCCCTTTTCTTCCTAAGGGAAACTGCTCATGCTGTGGACACGGTGATGCACGTCTGCACCACCTTCTGTGGCTGAGGCCCTGACAAGCCCTGTGAGCGGCGGCTGATACGTAGCAACTGTGATGTGAATGAACTGACAGATGCAAAGACAGAGGGGCAAGATGCGACAGTGACAATGGTGACAGTAGGGAGGGAAGGTGCCAGGGGCAGACGGAGTTGCTCACCTTGTCAAAGTGATTGAAGGATGCCCGGAACTCCTGCATCTGCTCCTGGCTGATGCCCTTGGCATCTCGGGTGAGGATTTGGTTCTCAATCTCGTTGATGGTGCGGGCAATGGTGGTGAGCAGCTGCTCCCAGCCCACTCGGATGTGCTGGGGGAGAAGGGAGGGTGTGACTGCAGGCCTGCTGGTGGGAGTGCTTGGACCACCACAGCTGTAGCTGAGGCTCACTGGGAAATGGGTTCCCCCATATGGGAGTGCGTTATAGCACGGCGTGAGGCTCACTCTGACTTTCTCCCAAATGCCAGTCCAGGCCCACGCTCTCTTGTGCACCTCACTTGCACACAGGGACAGAGGCATGGTACTTACCTGTTGCCTCGGCTCACCAGCACAGTTCATGTCACCTTAATATGTATTTGGTGACAGGTGTAGCAGAGGGCCAGGGCCCAATACCTGTGCAAGGTCTATGTGAAAACTTGGCAGAGATATGTTGGGCAAAGTTTAATTGGCTTTCTGGGGAGAAACACTCCCCGTTTTGTAGCATCTGCCATGTGCATGGTGTAAATAGTGTCACCAAGGATGATTTCCAGCTACCAACGCGATGATAAGCAGCCCTGACAGTGTAACTCGGCCGCAGAGAGCTGGTACACACAGATGCTGGCACACATTGGCTGGATCTGTGTCCTCAAGTGAGGACTCAGTGCTGAGCCCACAGCAGGGGCTGGTGCTACCCTCCCAGCTCTCTCAGGAGCTTGTCCTGAGATGTGTTGTCATGGTGTTGGGAGAACAGTGTTAGGAACAGTGATATTAAAAAATGTGTAAACATTTTTGATCTAGTCTTTTCAGTCAGGATAAAAGAGACCAAGGAAGCTGCAGACGCCTTCCCTGCCGGACGACATAGGGCTCTTCCGTGCTACAGACGGGTGTGGGGCCTGATGGGGTGTAGCGTACCTCCATGGTGTAGTTGGTGTGCTTGTTGTCGAAGATGAGGGCCTCCTGGATGAGCTGGTGCTGCTGCTCGAGCAGGTCCAGGTTTGGCTTGTAGTCCACAATGCTGCGCTCATACTGCTTCAGGTGGCTCAGCTGGTCCTCCAGGGTCCCGTTCATCTCGATGGAGATGCGCCCGATTTCCTGCACACAAGGCAGGTGCCACTGAGGGTGGGGCTGGTGGACCCTTGGCCACAACCAGCCACCCAGAGGAGATCTCTGTCTCTGGTGGCCTCCCTCCCAGAGTTCCTCCTCCTAAAAGGCCTGTGCCTCAGTGATGGTCCCTCCCTGCCCACCCTCCAGGGTAAAAGCAACCACACTGGAGAGTTCTGTGCTAAGTGCTACACATGCCGGACCTCAGTGCACCCTTGACTCACTGTGACAGGCTCTGTCTACAAATGTGGAAACTAAGGCCCAAACAAAGCAACTTCTCACAGTAAAAGGCAGAGTCAGAGTCTGAACCAGA